TAACTAGTAGCGAGCTCGGATCCAGAAGAAATGCAGGTGTTTGTAGAGATAAACTAGCTCAGAGATGAGTGCAAAGAAGTTGTGAGAAATAAGTAGAGATCAGTAGCTCGGGGAACTTGGAGTCTTGTTAGAGTAAAACTTAGAGCAATGTTTGATTTTTATGAATATGTGCACGATATGATGAACCTAATTTTGTTTTTGTTTTCATAGTACTTAAGTATGATTGATCTTTTGGAATCACTGGATTATATGGTTAGAAATGCCCCTTATAGGAAATATAAACCTAATTTACCACTTCATACCAACTGTAGACAATGGTAAGTTTGAGCTTTTTTTTTTTTTTATGAGAAGCATATAATTATACTGTTACGTGCTATCAGAGTTAAGAGACCTTTAACCATGTCCTGTATCCACTTAGAAAAAAATAGATAGGACCCCCCCCCAAAAAAAAAGCCAAGGAGGGACATCTTTTATATGGCTATGGTACTTTGTGATAAGCACATTCTTCTATATTCTCGTACCTTCAGTCCCCAATTTTTTAACTTAGTATTTAAGGTTTTCAACAGTTCAAATGACCCTTGTTGCTCTTTCAGCACCTACAGGGACTTAATGTTAGGGCCACACTGCGGTACAGTCATGTGTTGCTTGAGAGTGGGGGTGACTTCTGAGAAATGCGTCGGTAGACAACTGTATTGCGCTCTTACTTACTGCATGGGCTGAGCTGGGACAGTTGTGAGGACAAGAGGATGTGTGATCTTAGGGCACCACCGTGGGTGTGTGCTCTGGTGGGTACCGCAGGAGCCTTCCTCCTGGAGGGTCAGGCCAGAGAGTTGTCACGCAGCCCCCCAGTGTTGCAGCGGAGCTTCACCGAAGGCATTTAACAGTGTAGTGTCTAGAAGTCAAAGCTGTTTTCCTTGCTTTCTCTTAAATGTTTTATGCACACGTGCGTAACAGTTTTGATTTTCAGGTGGAAATATGCCATCGATTCTGTTCTTGAAGTTCATATAAGAAGATGTACACGGATGTGGTCATGGTGTAACATCAAGAAGCACCGAGAGTCCCTCAAGAGCTACAAAGTGGCCTACAAACAGAAGCTGACGCAGGCGAAAGTCGCAGAAGCAGTACAGAAGCAAATTCAGGTATGCCCTCTGCACAGGTGGGAGCTCTGAGCTGACTGGCCCCTTTCCATGTGAATTCTTCATTTATTTCATTAAAATACAACTTTAGAATGGAGCAAATCCTTTTTGTGAGAGGATTTTATGGGAAATTAAAGGGTGTTTTTTTCTCAAGTTTTTTTTCTTTAAAAAAATCTTTTCCCTATCCTGCTAGAAATAAAATACAGTTATTGCAGACCCTTTTGCAAAATGCTTCTAACTTTTATAATAATATTTTAAAAATTCAGTAGGCTCACTTACATACTTATTTATATATTGATCTTGTTTTAGTTTGTTACTGGGAATCAAACTCATGGCCTCCCACTCGCCAGGCAGGCACTGTGCTGCTGAGCTGTATGCCTGGCCTCACTTACATATTTGTTAGTTGACTATATTTTCCATGTTCTTTATTAAAAGTTTCAATTTGTATGTACATGGCTTGTATTTTAAAGAGTTTTAAGGTTATTTATTTATTTATTTATTTTTAACTGCTTTTAGTCTTGGGCAAGGAGAGGTCTATTTACTCTTGTAAAAGAAAACATTATGAATACATAATTTGCTGAATGTCATATGGTCTGGGTTTAGAACTCTTTCCGCTACTGATTGATAAAGTGAAGAGTAAGCTGAATTCTTGATATTCTGAAATATGTAACAGTCATCAGGATATAGTACATTAATATCACACAGGTATGACAGTCAGAAGGAGCTGGGCTCAGGACTTGTGCATTTATGAAGTGTTCTGATCATCCTGAGTCCTTCAGGTCTGTTGGTCTCAGGTAGAAAGTGGAAGCAGCACCTGCCTTACAAGGCTGTGGGAGCTGTATGACGTAATGCGTAGAGGACCCCCAGAGCTGTTACATACTTCTGTAGTATTTATTTATTAATGTAGTTGATACAGGTTCTCACTTTGCAGCTCGGACTCATAGTGATCTTCCTGTGTCCGGCCTCTCCAGTGCTTGGATTACAGGCGTGTGCCACCGCGCCTGGACTCGTACACTAGCCCAGCATGTGGTGCCAGGGATTGAACCCTGGCCCCTGCGCTTGCTAGAGCAAGCGCTTAGTCCACTGAGCTATCTTTCCAGCCCTATATTATTTATTATAAATGGTGAAAGTCAACTTTTACTTAAGTCTGCTTACTGACTTGCAGAATTTTATGTTTTTAAATTTTGTGCATTTCACACTGGTGCCTTCAGTGCAGCAGTTACGGTGTGGAGAGGGAGGAGTAAGCAAAAAGGGTGATGCCTGAACGTGGTAGTACTCACGCCTTGGTGGTTTGAGTAACTCTCTGCAATTGTTAATGATTTCACAGAAAATTTCTTATCTTCTTGTACTAGTTAAATGGGATGTGCTTCCTTAGAAAGCTTTTAGTTCTTAGTGTAAAGATTAAAAGATTGGAAAGTGCAGTGTATGCTCTGATTTGATGTGTCACTATGGACTAGATAAGCCTAGAAACCATAGAAGAAAAATTTTAAATAACAGTTATTTCCCTTATTTACAAGTGTCTCTGTTTTGTAGGACTTGGAGAAGACTTTAAATGTTTTTAACATAATTTTGGCAAGGCAGCAAGCACAAGTCGAGGTAATCATTTTATGCGCTCATTGGATGTTTTCAGCTTGTTAACACAGCTCTTTTCAACCTAGGGTCAGCTTTCCTTCTAGCATCTCACCTCTCTCTTTTACCTTCCTGCTTTACAAAGTTGGAATGAGTGTGTTATTCGTAATTGCTTACTAATTGTACCTGTGTAGCTTGTTCCATGTCATTTCTATGATTCTGTTGAACTTTTCAGTAATAAGTTACAAAAGTACAGCTCATTATAGAAAATACAGGTCAACGATGGAAGGAGAAACATCTCATGGACTCTTCTCACAAGTGGTCACTAGTGTGACCCTGGTCTGTATATTGTGTTAGTCCTTTTTGCTCATTTTAAAAATGAGATTAGAGCATGTATAATTCTTTATTTAATAAGTATTCATTGAGTTTTGGCTTATCTGGCCTTATGGTTAAGTGTGGAGTGAAGAATCAGAGCACGTGGATGCTGATCCCAGCTTTGCTGTCTACTAATTGTGTGACATTGGGCTGTTTAATTTCTCCTTGCCTTATTTTTGAAAAATGGAACTAGTTATTAGTACCTACACCATAGATTTATTCTAAAGAGTACAGATAATCCCTGTAAGGCAGTGAGATTAAGGGGTGCCTGGCATGTGGTAATTTTAAGTTTTTTTAAATCATTCTCTGCGCAGCATACAGAGATGAACAAAACTGTAACAGAGCTGGCGTCACTTTGTCACTTATGTTGTAGTGGGCGAGGCAGATAGGAATCGCATGCCTGCAGGAAGCGAGCAGCCATGGGTGGGAAGCGTGTGGGCCTGGGCGGTGTTGGTGGCCTTGCTGTTCCAAGCCGAGGGTGCGGGTTGGAGAAAACTCCCAGGGGAGATGTGTGAGCAGAGGTCAGGGGAAGCCTGCGCCAGCCAGGAAGGCGCCTCGGGCAGGTTACCCCAGCAGAGAGGGCTGTTCCTTGGTGGCACTCACCGCGGTCCCTGAGGGAGGAGCGGGGACCAGCAGTGAGCGCAGTGGGGAGTGGGGAGGCTGCTGTGGGACATGGCGGGCTGGCTGGGTCTCCCAGGTTAGAGTGGAGCCTGCCGCTTGTGTCCTGGCTTCCGAAGCCGGGTGTAGGTTCCAAGAACAGGGCGGTACAGTGTGTTCCCGGGACTCTGGCTGCTTTGAAAGCTGCGGTAGGAGGGCTGCAAGGAGGAGGGCAGGAGCCTCCTGGACGTGGCTGGGACAGGGGAGGCCAGGTGGTGGCCGCTGGCCTGGGGAGGGTGCCGTGCAGCGGTGACAGGGCCTTACGCAGGCGTCCTACACGGGGAGCACCAGTACTCCCTGCCTGATGAGAAGTGTGTGCAAGACAGCGCCGTGATAATTGTAATGGTTTTTGTCTGAGCACAGCGGAAGGACAGTTAATATTCCTTGAGATGGGGACGGTAGGTGTGAGAGGCTTGGGTGAGGTGGGAGGTCAGGAGCTCTGCCGGCAGTGCGGTCGGTGACTGTGGAGCTTCGAAGAGCCATCTGGACGGGGCAGACGTTGGCAAGGGCTCGGCCAGTGGGTGGTGGTC